TTGTTAGAAAGTTTTGATAGCGAGAGTACAATGAAACAAAAATCTTGAAACAATATATTGAGATTCAATAAAACGGAGATTAAGATTTCACAACTAAAAATAGACACCAATGAACCATTTAATTAATTCGTTGCCTTTATATTTTTTAAACGTTCAATGGTATCGATGATTTATTGATTAATTCTGGTATTATATTAATCGCTCACTGGTGGGTCGGCTCTGACCAACCAAGATAAGCTATGACCAGCTAAGACCAGCGACCCGAGTGAAAACACTCGGGTCCCCACGTTAAAAACAGACCTTGTGTCACAACCTGACTCGTTTTTTTTTGGGGGGGGGGAGTCAAGTAAATACAAACTGCTCTCTCGAGTGGTTCATAACGCATTATTTATCATCTTTCAGTTGCGTCTCTGTCTTCGGGCAGAGTGCGCTCATGGGCCGGCTCCATCAAAGGACAGGGTCGAACTGAGGAAAATATTATTGAGAGGTATCGGTGCTCGCACTGAGGCCAGCGCAAACGGAGGTTGCAGGCAATTTTTGTTCCTAGACCAGGTGTACGCGCTCGGGCTCCTCATATCAAACCGACCTTGTGTCACAACCTGACCTCGTGGGTGGTTGAGTAAATACAAATTGCTCTCTCGAGTAGTTTGTAACACATTATTTGTCATCTCTCACTTGCGTCTCTGTCCTTGGGTAGAGTGTGCTCGGGGGCGACTGCGTCAAAGGACAGAGTCGTAACTGAGGAAAATTTTACTGAGAGGCTCCCGGCCCTGGGAAACAGCTGTACGACGCTGCGCCCTCTCAATGCCTTAGAGAGAGGAATTGCTTCTCGTACCGAGGCCAACGCAACCTACGGTTGCTGGGGCTCGGGCAATTTTTGTTCATAGACCGGGTGTACGCGCTCGGGTTCCCACCTCAAAAACTGACCTCGTCGCATCTCTTATTAGTAGGGAGACAGAGTAAATACCGTGTGTAAATTGCTCTCGGATAGTTTGTAACACGTATATTTAACATCTCTGTCTCTGTCTTTGAACAGAGAGCGATAGCTTAAATGTCGCTCTATCGGGCGGCTTTTAAGCTAGTTTATAATAAAATGTGCACTGCAATTTTGGATACAAAAGGAAAATAAGAGTTACTCCGCTTGAACCATGAAGGCAACGATAATGGCTAGTATAATGTATGTATTAATATATATGTTTAACCTCGCATAATCTGGCAACCCTGAATTTGATCTCAACGAAAATCGTTCCCTTCGCCTAACTTTTTTTCTAGGGCTTTTGAATGAGCGATGAATCATTGAAATCGGACCAGTGGGAGTAGAGAAGTTGCTTGGACACACACATGCACAAACACACACACATACACTGTATATATATATATATATATATATATATATATATATATATATATATATATATATATATATATATATACACAGAGAGAGAGAGAGAGAGAGAGAGAGATGAACAGATTTAGATAGTGTATGGATTGGGAGATAGACAGACAGACAGACAGAGTGGTAGACATAGAAAGAATTAAGAGACTTAGATAATTATTCGATTTAGATATGAAAAGACATAGATAGATAGATAGATAGATAGATAGATAGATAGATAGATAGATAGATAGATAGTGTTATAACTCGCTCATATGTCTCGCTTAGGCTACTCGCCGTGACGCCATTAGAAATTCTCCTCGGCTGACTGCAACGAACTTCTCCTGACTAACTTTGAGTTCTTTATTTAAGGCGTCTTGCCTAGTTCATTTGTGTTACTGGTGCTGTCTTATTTACTCCACAACAGATAGATAAATAAATAGATTGAACAGGCATTGATAGATAGGTAGATACATAGATTGATAGATATGAATACACTGACATAGAGAGCGAGCAAATGAGGCTGACATAGTGCGCGCGCGCGCGTGTCTGTGTGTGTGTGTGTGTGTGTGTGGTAAACAGAAGGAGATAGAAAGAGATGTGCATACAAGCATTTGTGGGTGGAGCATGTCATCGGTCGTTCCTTGACGTTGGCAAATTCGCTCTTTCTCATATATCCGTAAAAATGCTGTCTAAACTTAACCCTGTGCCCGGCACTGAAAAGAAAACAACGTCTTTATGGCCTTCGTTCCACATCGTTTTTGTTTTTTTTCTCTTTAATTTCTAATCTTTTTCTTCTTCTTCCCTACTTTTTTGTTTCTCTCTTCTTTTTTTCTCCTTCTTCCTTATATTTTTTTTCAATTGTCTGACTCTTGCTTCCCCGCCTCAAGCCGGACAATACATTTTTTTTGTTATTGTTGTTGCTGTTCTTCTTCTTTGTTAGTTTTATTCTACTTTGATTTCTCTCTCTACAGTACTCACTCTCTCGACCCCGCTCTCCAAAGGCTTCACTCTCTTAATCCCCCTCTCCAAAGGTCTCTATCTTTATCGCTCTTCCACGATTTCTCTCTGTCTCTCTCTGTCTGTTTCTCACTCTCTCTCTCTCTCTCTCTCTCTCTCTTGCACGGGCTTCTTCCACGCTGGCTTTTTCTATCTCTCCCATGTCGCCTCTCTCGCACGCTCTCTCACATTTTTTCTCTCTCTCTTGATCTTTCTTCCATCTCCTTTCTCCCCGCTCTCTCCCTCTCTCTCTTTCTCGGTCACTCACTCGCTATCTCTCTTACTCTCTCTCTCTCTGTCTCTCTCTACCATTCTCACCGCTCTCTCTCTCTCTCTCTCGCAGGAGCTTCTTCCACGCTCTGTCTCTCACCCCTGCGATCTCTCCCTCACTTTTTCTCCCATTTTTTTTATCTTTCCTTCCGATCTTTCTCTTGAACTCTCTCCCTCTTCCACATTTCCTCTTTATCATCTACGTTCTCTCTTCCACGCTTTTTCTCTCACTAGCATTCGCTACCGACCACTCTCTCGCTATTTCTCTATATCTCTCTTACCCTTTCATCCACATTCTCTCTTTCTGTCTCTGTCACGCTCTCCTCTCCACGCTTTTTCTCTCCCTCGCGCTCTTTCTCTCTCTCACGTGTCCTCTCCATCACCCTGTCTTCTACGTTCTCCCTCTTTTCCTCTCTCACCCCTCGCTCTATACGAGTTGTATTTTCTTATAATTCAAACATTTTTTTTTGTTGTTTAAAAATACTGTATGATTTTTTTTTTGATTTCATTGAAATAGTCCTTCAGCCCCCCTTCATTATAGAGACCAACATCACCGTCCATATTGTTTTCCCCGACCCTCACAGCATGTGTGTGTTTACGTTTTCTACACTAACGTTTGTTTGCCCCTTAAGTTATTTTATTCATTTAACTGTCAGACATTTTCTATATACCCTTTTTTCGCCTCTTTACTCCCACGTCCCTATCTCCTTTTCCTTTGTAAAAACCTAACACCTCATCGTATTATCTCCATCATTGTTAAAGTTAGTGTTTGTCATGTGTTTTGATTATTATTTTTTGTCGTATTCAAGGGTCGTCGAGCAATTACCATTTCTGGGCGTGGCTTCCTCATAAATGGCGTTGCCCCGACCTCCACCTATCGTCCGATTGGCTAGAAATAACGAATTTCAAACGGTACCCGCCTATTATTAGATTCTCTGCAATAACTTATTGCCCTTAAGATGCTCCTTTATACATTTCTTTCTTAAACAAAGTCCCTTTTAACTGATGGTACGCATAAAAATATTTTTAATTTTAAAACGATGTTCCTCGTGTCATGATACGCGTTGCAGACGACATCTCCATTCTTGTTTGAATTTCTTTCCTTTTTGTTAACTACCCCAGTGTCGGAATAACAAGGACAGTTTTTCAAGTACTTTAAAATCGATAGAAGTGAAAGCAATCGACACAATTTTCATCTGAGACCTGATATTTTGATGTTTTACCAACAAGAATTCCAGTAAACTTGGATTTATTTATTCGCGTCTTTTGAATGTACACACACACGCACGCACACATTTACATTTATATCAAATTGCTCACCCCGTCTCTTCTATCAGCTATAAGCTTCCTTATATATATATATATATATATATATATATATATATATATATATAGTTGCACATCACTCTGTATATGCCTATATATTCACCTTCATTCAGAAACTTAAATTTTTTAGATAATTTTTACGTATTCAGTTATATGAAATCGCTCATCCTTTTCTATCATCTATAAGCTGCTAATATATATATATATATATATATATATATATATATATATATATATATATATATATATATATATATATATAGATAGATAGATAGATAGATAGATAGATAGATAGATAGATAGATAGATATTCATCTTGTCAGGTGTAAATCACTCTGTATAGGCCTATATATTCAACTTCAGAAACTTTAAATTTTTTATGTAACTTTTCAAGCATACATAAGTTTTTTTCAGCGTAATTTCCAACTGTCCGTAACAATAAATTCTTAATCATATACATTTTACACCCAAGAATAATAACTCACACACATGCCAACCGCTTTCAAAATACATACACGAAAAACATAACTGTTTTAACAGTTTTAAAAACGTTATCATGAACGTTACCTGATTTCAAAAAGATTTTTGGCATTTTTTAGAAATTTTGAAACGCGCGTTTTTGGGGCAATTTTCAAAGAGTGAACACAAGAAGATCTGCTATTTGGAAACCTCAATTATACCAAAATATTTTACATTCAGAATAGACAGCACCTGGACGTAATCCTTTTCCATACAACACCCACAATACACAAAAAGTATTAATTGTAGTTATATATTGACATTGATGCATTTGTTAATATAAGTAAATAAATAAACATAACTTAAGATTATGACAAAATCGATGATGACCAACAGGACGCGGCATTATTTGGATTATATTTCATAACATTAGCCAAAAAAGAAACGAAGAACACAAAATAAAGATTCCGACATAGTGTAACAAGGGACTATTTACATTAGCAAAATGCGACAAGCGGAAGGATATCGGCGCTCCGAAATATTGAAAAGAGATATACGAAACGTTATCGCAATGGCAGAAGCTGATTCAAACCACAACAGCGGTCGCAATTCCTCCGGACCGCCTTCTTTATTAACAACCGAGTCTGGTGACAAGGAGTCATTTTTCGAAAAGAGTAACCGAAATCAAGATTGCAACAGATCCAAGAAACTCAGACCTTCTATGTTTTCAAAGGCCATCGACGAACGAGAGCTACAACACCTACGTCTTAAAATTAACAGCCGAGAAAGACGACGGATGCACGACTTGAACGCGGCCCTAGACGGTTTGCGAGAAGTTATGCCTTATGCCCATGGTCCGTCAGTTCGAAAACTGTCAAAAATCGCCACTTTGCTGTTGGCCAAGAACTATATACTAATGCTAAGTAGCTCCCTCGAAGAGATGAAAAAACTGGTCAGCGAGATCTACCAAACGAGAAATGTCCAAGGGCCGCCCACACCTGTTGTGCCATCAGCCATCGCTTTGTCATTACAATCCTCGTGTTCTCCTTCATCTTTTATGGCCGCATCTACCGTCCCATCAGCTTCCCCATCAACATTGTTACCATCTACGTCATCGTTTTCTTCATCATCCTCGATTTCTTCGTCTCCATCGTTACCGACACTATCATCGTCGTCTTCTTCATCTTCACCTTCGCTATCATCCGCATCATCCTTGTCGCCACACACCACATCTTCCTCCACTCCGACTGGGAAAGCGACATCTAGCCCACCACCTAGAATGATACCGACTCGCCACCATTCGTCCTTTCCTTATCACTACCCTTCGCTATCTCACCTACCATCCGGTCATATGGGCCAACCCGGATACAATTTAGCCAACAGCTCCCTAACTGTGACACAAACATCCTTTGCTCCTCATCTTTCGGTAAGTCCAGCATCTAATTTTTCGGTACCCGGGCCTCCGACTTTAGGACATCTGTCTTTACCGTTGCCTTCGACAGTCAAAGATATTTCTTCTCCCGTGGCTGTTGCAAACAACACCAGTGCTCATGATCGACATCGTCTACTTTACAGCCGCTGGCCGTGTAAGCAATGTTTTTTTGATTCTTCTCGTCTTCCATTCGCGAATTCTGACTCCAGTAAACTTTCGCCTCTAGCAACGCACACACCAACGTTACGCAAATAGCAATACATCCGCATATGCTGTTCTCTGGATCAAGACCGAGCTCAAGTACAAGCCTATGAGCGGACATCGAGGTAGTGGATATATTTGTTCTCTGTCATTCCAAAGCGAAACATTGTCAATAATCCGCTAATTATTCGGACTAGTCTCTTCATTGCTATTGTTTTGATACATTTTGACTCATGCTTTGCTTGGCATTCCTCATGTTATATAAAAAGTATTATTGAAGTCTTATGAATTGTTCAAATTAATATTATCATCTTTGTTCTTTTTTATCATCTTATTTTCAGCCTAAGTGCTCACGTTCATTGTCTCAAGTCCTGAGATCAAGACTTGTCATGATTCCATCAATTATTTGAACTAATATATCCATCTTTGTAGTTTTGGTCACTACGTTTCGGCTGATGTGCTCTCCGGCCTTCTTTGTAGAATTTGCTTTTCTGAGATGAAATATGATCATTATTTCTCGAATTATTCTTTTACTTTTTTTTTTTTTTTTTTTTGCAAATGTTTCTGCCGATGTGTTGTCCTGGCTTTGTGTGTTACATTTGAAGACAATTGAGATTTTCGCCACTGAAACAATTTCCAGCTTTGGGATGACACCAGTTCAGAAAAGTTGGGTAAGATCTGCAAGAAAATAATTGCCAGTTGCAATGCACACCTATTAAAATCCGGAGAACAGATCGGTCGAAATGTTATCGTTAACTCAATAAAGATGAGGATAAGAGTGTGAATGGTGAAAAATCTTTCTTCACACACTGCTAGAAAGACCGAACAAAATACTACCTGAAGTATTGTGATCATAACAACAATGATGAGAATATTCGTCTGAATAATGGAATTATGGGTATTATTCTTTATAACGGGAAAATATGCGAGATTCACTCAATATATTTAAGAAGGATCCATCACAAACATACGCGCGCGCATACACGCACGAATCCATAACGCTGAAAATGATTGATTTGATTTTTACTGTTTATCAACCCATTATAGGTTATTTAAAGCCAGAAAATATTTCATATGAGTTGAAAAGTATATTTGAATAACATTGCTAGCAATATGATATTGTTATTGCAGAAAGATTAATGAATTATTGAAAATATGCATGCAACACACACACACACACACACACACACACACACACATATATATATATATATATATATATATATATATATTACTTTAAACATTATTTTTAGTGGATACGCATATTTGAGTAGACGCTCCGTTTATTTTAAACAGTATTTTATTTCGTCTACCGATCTGCACATTCGAGAAAACTTATTAGAAAAAATACGCCCTCCGACAGGATTCGAACCTGAGTCCCCATTTGCAGCAACGTTTTGGACTTCGAGAAAATCTGAACCAGTAAAGTTTGCTTTAATGGCAAACAGAACCTTTCTTGATTGTGAGGCTCTTCGTAGCCGAGCGGTTAGAGCATATGGAATGAAACGGTGAATTCTCCTGCAAAGGTGGATACTTGATTGAATCCTGCCTGTAGACGAAATATAATGGCGTTTTAAAATAAACCGGGTGTCTAAATTATCTGCATCCGCTAAAAATAACGTTTAAAGTAATAAGAATATGACATTAAAAAATAAATCCATTAATTCTGTGTATGTATATATATATATATATATATATATATATATATATATATATATATATATATCCAGGTACGATAAGAACGAATAGAGTACATTTCCAACGTTCGTAACATCTAATTTAAAAGAGGGCTCAATACATAGTAGAGCAATATTATTTATTTTCGATATTACAACAAAAACATGTAAGAATCGCTACACAATTGCAGTGGTGTTTCAACGCAAAAACAAATTAACAGTTCACTTGCCAGTAATTTACAATCGCCTTAGGAGATGCATTGTTATGCGTTGAAACACGACTGCAATTGTGTAGCGATTCTTACATGTTTTGCTGTAATATATATATATATATATATATATATATATATATAATTGTGTATTTGGACGGCAATCTCTTTTTTTTTCAAGCTTTCTTAAAAACGGTCATTGTCAGTCGTTTTAATGAAACTTTGTGTATATATATATATATATATATATATATATATATATATATATATAGGGATAGATAAATCAAACGACCAGATATAAGCAAGCGTATACTGGTGTGCATACGCGGGCAAGCAGATAAATAGTCATTAAATTTATACATAAGGTGTAAACATAAGAGTGCTTTATCCGGTTAGGCAGAGCAAAGATGTGTGGGTGTGGGTGTAGATGTTGCATGTATATTTTCAAATATAATTACCTTTGACATTATGTTTTATTGGATTGAATTATAAATAATTTCTGTTCTGGAACCAATTGTAATGATGAATGTATGAAGAATGCATTACTAATCTCATAGTTGGCATTTAAGAATGAAGTTTCACGACATTAACATGAGACAATGTTTAACGCTAAAGGCAGTGGATTAACAAGTATATAGCTCTCATCCTTAAATGTGTATAAACTAATAAAAAATAAGATTAAAAAATACAAATACACCCGTCACACCTCGCTTACCTCACAACATTCTTTGCCGCGCGCGCACACACACACACACGCACACACACACACAATAGTAACTATTTCTCCGATTTCAGTAATTGTCCCTACCTATTCTGAAGATGACTTTAAAAAGTCGAAAGCTTGAATCAAATCCTGTACTTTTCTTCTGGAATGAACTTTGAACAAATTCTGACAGAATTTACTCTTTGTCTGAGAAGAATTATACCTAATTTGGAAAAATTGATCATTAAAATTAATCGACACAAAATGTCTGTTAATTTTTAATTGACTTAGCCTTAGGTAGGTAAGTAATTAACAGATAGATAGATAGATAGATAGATAGATAGATAGATAGATAATTGACAGACTGAGATAGATAGATAGATAGATAGATAGATAGATAGATAGATAGATAGATAGATAGATAGATAAATAGATAATTAATAGACTGAGATAGATAGATAGATAGATAGATAAATAGATAATTAACAGACTGAGATAGATAGATAGATAGATAGATAGATAGATAGATAGATAGATAGATAGATAGATAATTAACAGACTGAGTGTGGTAGGATCCACCTAATTTGCATAGTGGAGTACCACCCATATAAATATGGTTGGTACCGGGAAGAGAGGAAGGAATCAAAAGATTCAACCAGAGACTCTGCCCGACAGCGACTCAGTCAACACATTCTCCAGGAACGGTCTTACCAGGAATATACAAAAGACTATATGTAAATATTGTGTACACTTTCTTTTTTTCTAAGTACATTTTGTGTTGCATTATTATTCCATGCCTTAGTCAAGTTTCAACACTGAGATAGATAGATAGATAGATAGATAGATAGATAGATAGATAGATAGATAGATAAAGTAGACAGTGATAGATAGATAGATAGATAGATAGATAGATAGATAGATAGATAGATAGATAGATAGATAATTAACAGACTGAGATAGATAGATAGATAGATAGATAGATAGATAGATAGATAGATAGATAGATAGATAGATCCCTGAGCCGCGCCAGGAAGTTTTTCTCCCCGGAGTCGATCCTCCAGATCTACAAATCAACAATTCGCCCTTGCATGGAGTATTGCTGGTGCCCCTTCTGTTTGCCTCGGGGTTCTTGATAGGCTCCAGAGGCGGATATGCAATGTAGTTGGCCCTGCTCTGGCGTCTCGTCTACAGTCACTTTCTCACAATCGTGCCGTCGCCTCCCTCTGGCTGTTCTACAAATACTTTCATGGAAATTGCTCCGAGGAGCTGCATTCGCTGGTTCCCAGACGTCATGAGTTCCAGCGCCTTACGGGGGTTGGCATCCCGCTCTCACGCCTTCACTGTCGAAACTCCTAAATATAGCCGTCTCTTCTACTCTAATAGCTTCATGTCTCACAACTCTCGCCCGTGGAACTCCCTTCCCTATTCCTGTTTCCCTGAGAGCTATAATCTCCAGCTATTCAAGTGTAATGTCAATCGACATCTCCAGTTGCCTTGATCTATCCACTACCCTCATCCTTTCTTCTATCACTCCTATCTGATCTTGCTCTAAATTTTCTGTAACCCCTTGCGTCCTAGTGGCTTCCCGCCTTGCTTGGGGTGAAGTGCTTAAAAAAAAAAAAAGATAGATAGATAGATAGATAGATAGATAGATAGATAGATAGATATGGATACCAAATGATATATTCATGCATATATACATACATAAAGTTAAAAGGCATACAGGGTGCGATGGATGAATTGTCGTCTAAATTTTAAAAAATATTGAATGAGAGATATAGAATTTTTATTTTACAATTCAGACCAGATTTTCTGTAACTGGGGTCCTCATTGACCAAAAACAATGATGATTTAAAATCTCCGAGGAATTATCCTTATAATATAAACATTAAGCAGTACAGAAATTAATTTCTTGAAATTTCATAAAATTAAATAAGTTGGGGGGTTAACAGATGTAAAAAAAACAAAAAAAACAAAATAAAACATTTTTACAAAGATTTTCTAAAAAAGAAACATTTCAAAACTATTTCTGAAAGTTTCATTAAAATCTAACAAGTGTCTGAACTCCTTTGAAAAGTTTAACCATCAATTTATTTAGTAAAACGGGATCATCAGTTACCGAAAATCAGCTCTGAATCGTAAAATAAAAAATGCAATAAAACAAAGACATTATCTATACATATATGAAAGGCAGTTGTCTGTATATGCCTGTGTGTCCGACTAAAACTAAAAAACTACAATAATTACGACCAAATAAATATATATACAGGCTCAGTAGCACCAAGCCCAACTTTTGGTAAAAAATATTATCATCGTATGATGTGTATTTACGAAGATATTTTAAAATTAAAAATACCTAATGATTGCAATAGAATGCATTCGAAATTCTCAGAATTAAAAAGTAAAAACGAATGGGAATAAATTATTATTCCCGTTCGTTTTTACTTTTTAATTCTGCTGATAATT